AGAGAGAGAGAGAGAGAGAGAGAGAAGACAGGTTGACTGGGACAAAGGAATTGACATATTTTTAAAGATCATGATTTTGGGTTTTACAAAGATAGAAAAATTGTCAATGAAACACCTTAGTGGGACAGTTCTAGTGTTTCCTAGATGTGTTTATGATGAAATGCAAAATGTGAACATGAGCTAATTTTATAGACCCATTGTGTGTGCCTGGATTAAGTTTTCTATTTTCTATGTGTTCTCCCCAAGCGGGGTTTGATTACATCTCTTACGGATAGGGAAGTTCCCCTCTTTTCTTTCTGAGATGTCACCAGACAGCCATACCATGTAGACTTTAAACCATGTGCTCCTCCAAACCATTTTGTGTCCTCAGCATTGTAAAGTCTTGACTTATTTTCCATCAACTTCAGCATCTTTGCCAGGAGGGAAAAATGGAAACAGGGCTTCTAATTTTTCTAATCTATTAGATCAATTGGAAGCACCAGGCATAGTGTGCTGCCTAGTATATACTAGAGACTCAGGAAATGTTCATTGAATATAAATAGTAATCAGATTGAGTGAAAAATAAAAAGATGACAGAGAAAAGCAGCATTATGTATTAGCATAGCCCAGCGATTTTCAACCCTTTTTATTTCATGGCACACATAAACTAATTACTAAAATTCTGCAGCATACCAAAAAATATATTTTTTGCTAACCTGACAAAAAAATTTGGTGTACTTCTCATTCATTCACACTGGATGGCTATTGTTGTGTTGGCTGTTGTCATTTTTTTATTTGACAGTCTAAGGGAAAAGTGGTCAGTGCCCATGACAAAGTAGTCAGGTATTGCTTGTTTAAAAAATTCTTGTGGCATACCGGTTGAAAATCGCTGGCATATCCTGTTTACACAGAATAAAGGTTGGAATCTGAGGCTCTGAGGTGAACAGTTTTCCTGTGTGTTGCAGGGGATCACCTCCAGTCTGTGCAGTTTAGTTACCTACAGAAATCTGAATGCATCCCACTAGGTTCCTCTACTGCCCAAGAAGCCTCTGGTTCTGTCCTTGTGTTGGACTGGTTAGTTTCGTCTTCATGAAGAAAAACTGTAACATGAAAATATACAAAGCACAAATAAGAAGTTGTAGCTGCTGCTGTAAGTCAGCACTATTATATTTCAATGCTAGATCTGACTGATACATGTTTTTCCTTTTAGCTCATGTAAATAAAAGTTGATATAAAGGAAATACCATTTAATGGTAATGGGGGAGAGGGGAAGCAGTCCATGAAGCAGTCTATATATGCATATATATGCTATATATGCTATATATGCATTTAATTCTGGATTTCCTCTCCCTTTCCCCACCAACAGAAAAATAAATTATATTACTTCTGGAGGAACTTCATTATTTATTGGCCATATTAAACCTGAAAGGTGGCCAGTTAGATGGTAGTTTGATTACTAAGTATCATTTTCATGATTTATCAGCCACAAAATGAAGATACTTAAAGAGATAATTATAAAGTATACAATATAAATATAGATAAAATATACAAGTACTTTCATGTAATAAATACTAATATAAATGCGAATGTATAAAAAGATGTAATGTAAATATAATAAAATAATGTAAAAGAAATACCTATGAATCTATACTGATATAAATAAATGATTGAATAAGTAAGCAAATGGAAGAGAATAACCTTGTGTATAAAAGAATTCTAAGTGATTTATGTTGATAATTCCCTAAAAGGAGGTGAAACATAACTGCTCATTCCTTAGATGCGGGCTGTGCATAGTAAACTTCCTTCCAAAGAGTACAGTATAAGAAGAGGAAAAATAATAACTTTACGGTGGAGAAAGCTGACAAACAGTACTTTAGCCAGGTGATCACACTAACATGGACATGGGTAAAGGTGGCCTTGTCGCGAAGAAATGAAAATGACTGCCTCTCTGATTTCTTCCCCAGATCCTATAATCCCATTATAATCCTGAGAAAAGCATTGGGCAGTTGTAGACTTTCTACAAAATACCTAACTAGTACTCCTCAAAAGTTGTCCAAATCACCAACTGTTGTCAAAAAGGTAGTCTGAAACCCTGTCACAGTCTAGCGAGGAGGAAGGAGACATGACAGCTAAATGTAGTGTGGGATCCCGGAACAGGAAGAGGACCTTGGGCAAAAATTAAGGCAATTTGAAGTATGGACTTCAGTTAATAATAATATATCAATATTGGTTCATTAGTTGTGGCAAATGTATCAAACTAATGTAAGAAGTTAATGATAGGCGAAGCCAAGTGTAAGGTATATTAGGAACTCAATAATATTAACAACTTCTCTGTAGACATAAAACCACCCTAAAATTAAGTTTATTTTTTTTAAAAAAAGACAAGCCTGTAGTTCACGTTTAATTTTCATCATGCTGGGAGCCTGAAGTCTAGAGCAGCACATGGTGTTCGGGACTGATTGTGGTGTGAAAGTGGGGCAGCTCTTCCTGGCTGTTGTCTAGTAAAGCATGGCAGCGTGTTTGCAGAATCAGAGAATGCAGGATTTCTAAATGTTCTCCCATGGAATTCCCTACTGGCATGACTTTCCCCCTTTGCTTCTGCCCAGCAGCAGTCCCGTGAGTGGCATTTGCTGTCCTAGTTAATCAAAGGGTAGGATAAATGAAAAACTCCTCTTCCCCTCCTAAGACGTTTCAATGGGCCTGGAAATGTAGGTCAAATTGCATCACCGCAGAAAGGAGCGAACAGGAAGGTGAGTGTGCAGTGTTGCCAACCTCTGTAGATTCCGAGTCATGCTGAGCCAGTGTGGAGCAGCTGAGGGGTGAGCACATACAGGGACTCGGGAGTCATGGTTTTGAAGTAGTCCCAGAATACTTATATATTAACCAGTGATTTTTTAAAAAAGATCTCATCTAAAGCCCTAGTGAAAATAACGTACACTGGCTTTGTTTAATTTGTATCTCCCAGTCTCTGGAATTCTTTTTGTCTTTTATTTATTATTGGCATAATGCAGCACTTTATATTAATTTATCCAGAGAGATGTTTGAGTTGCAGAAATGATTGCCATGTGTACATTTTTAAAAATGTCTTTTTTGCTAATAACTTAAATCTAATAATATAGTTTTCAAATTATATGTATTCATCTGCTCAATGGACTCTTGATTAGTATATAGAAATCATAAAATATGTTTTTTATCTCTAAGTTATGTTTAAAGAATGCTGTTCCATGGTTTTCTATTTTTTTAATGGCTGAGTCTTACCGATTCTAAGATATAAGAAGTCTCTAAATACATGTGTTTATTTTTACACATTGTATGCTACCTGTGCTTGGTAAGATGTCCAGATGTCTCTGCTAGAGTGGTCCCGTAGCTGACATCATCATGAACAGGAAGCATCCTGACAGTAAAATCTGCTCTACCAACATAATTGGTAGTTGATCTATATACAGATGGAAAGTCAACCCTGGCTGGTTGGCTCAGTTGGTTGGAATGTCATCCTGTACACCAAAAGGTTGCAGGTTCGATTCCAGGTTAGAGCACATACCTAATTAGGGTTTAACCCCCGGTTAGGGCACATATGGGAGGCAACTAATCGATGCTTCATGTTTTCCCTCTCTTTTTCCCTTCCTCTCTCTCTCTAAAATCAACAAACATATCCTCTTAATGAGGATTTGAAAATATATTTGCAAAGGTTTGGGTAGTATTTAACCTTATAGATTGAATACATTAACCTGTGAACTGTTTATAATCCAATATTCTTTTAGCTAATTTTTACTTTTTATTTTGAAATAATTGTAGATTCATGGGAAGTTGCAAAAATAGTACAGAGAGGTTCTGGTTACTCTTAAAGTTTCTCCCATTGATTTCATTTTACCTAACTCTAGTACAATATCAAAACTGAGAAATTGACATTGGCAGAAAATATGTGTGTAGTTATATGTCATTTTATTTGTGTAGATTCGTGTGACCATACCACAATCAAGACCCATCACTGTGAAAATCTCCCCCTTGCTCCCCTCGTAGTCACAGTCATTCCTATTGTTCTCACAGTCCCTAACCTGGCAACCACTAAGCTGTTCTCCAGCTCTATAATTTTGTCATTTGGGGAATATTACATAAATATGATCTTTTGAGATTGGCTTTTTTCACTCAGAATTTTAAAAAGGATTTTATTTTGAAAAGACTATTCATATTAAACATTTTAAAACAATATTCATTTTTAAAAGAAGTTGTTATCCAGAGTTTGATTCACTAATTTTCACACCTGCATTTTCCTAGCTTGAGTATTCTATACTCTGTGTTGCTTTATTTGAACAGCTGCTAAAGTCATGTGTGCCGATGTCATATCTGATTATAGCATTAACCTTATTGCCTACTGTTAAGGCCAATACCATGAAGTTAAAGGGAAAATTACCACAGAAAAAGGTCAACAAAGTAGGTGTTACAGTTGGTTACTGAACCTGAGTAAGATAATTAAATGTATACTTGGAGTATACCAAATAGAGCAACTGACCCATATTTGTGTTCCATTTCATCGCAAAAAACTCTTCAAAGAAGAGAGACTTTCTGGAACATGTTTAAATGAACAGCAGTTGAAATAATTACATTAATTAGTTAATGTAAAGATCGTGTCACAGGATTGTTCTATGTGGTTAGTGTGAGATGTCACCAGATGAAAGCCAGTGTCTGCATCCTGTTAATCAGATTCTTTGAATGTCTTGAGTAGGAAATGGAGCCCTGTGGGTGGATGAGAGCTGGGAGCAAGCAGCCTGAGAAGGAACAAATCTTCCTCAGATGCAGTGTGATGTTTTCTTACAAAATATAAAAAATACTCCAGGAGCTGTCGGAGAGCATGTTAGTGTTTGGCTACAAACAATGATATCAGGGCTGTAGGGAATCCCATGGCCAGACCCAGGAACCGAGTTCCATGGCACCATCCTGACCTCTGGCAGTGAAGGTGAGGTGTGAGCACCAGCTCCTCCGCTGGCCCAGAAGTCATGCTCCTGAGGCTGTCAGGACAGATTTTTATGAATGGGATGATCTTGTAACTGTGTGACTGGCAATTGGTGTTCATCTGGGTCTGGCTCCTACGTTTTACACAGTTTTCCTCCTAGATAGAAAATTATTCTTTGTAATTAAAATCAACCGCTGCATATGGGCTTAACATGTTTCAATTGAACATCTATGTTTTATTCAAGCAGCGTATGATTACACTTGAAGTAGCTATTGGGATGGAGGAAAAGGGGAATGATCATTTATTGATCACCAGATACCTGTCAGACACTGTTTGCAGTGCTTACACACAGTCACATGTAATGACAACACTGAAAATTGCACTCATGACACTCACTAAGGCATGGGTCTGAAATAAGCAGCATACTAAGTAATTCTTTGGCAAATAGGCCAGTTTTCACGGTCAGGTTTGTTTAAGAGGTCTATTGCCCAAAACATAACATATATAAAATATAGCTTAAAGATTATATATCTGTTAATTAATTTGTATGTTCATGAGGCAATTTGTGGATAATATAGACTATAGAGATGCACTACCTACCCCTTCTCTTAGCAGCTTTCTATCCTAAAAACAAGTTTACAAGTAAAGGAAAAATCAATTAACTACAAGAGTAAAAACTGCTTAACTTACCAATGCAACATGTAATAAGGCAATTCATAATTAATTATCAAATAAATCAGATTGTAAATGCTGTAAATGTTCAGAAGAAGAAATGATTAGTGATCTCTGACCTTTGATTTTGTCACCTGCGAAACGTAGGTAATACCTACCTCATAGTGAGAAATGAATAAAATATGTATGTAAAGACTATTACTTAATACACCTTCAATAAATTATAGCTGTGCTGTTGATAGTAAGATTCTGATGGTGATTAGGACAACAGTAGTACTGCCACTGCTTCCCCAAACCTTAGTAGCTTAACACTGTATGTGTTGATTTCGCACCAGTCACAGCTCAGCATGGATTGGCACAGAGGCTCTTGCTTCTAGTCATTCAGGGGTGAGATTTCGTGGCTCTGTCCACCTCTGAGTGCTTGAGGCCCTCTATATTTGATCAGCAGAGAGACTGAGGATAAAGATGATAGGGTTTGCATGGGCCAAGCCTAGAAGTGGCACAGTTTAGGACTCAGTCATATAACT